CAGAGCCCAAAGCGGCGCAGCAGCAGCGCAGCAGCAGCGCAGCTCTGGGGCTCTGCTGCTGCTGCTGCTCGGCTGGTTTTCTAATTAAGAAAACCCTCTGACACCCCAAACCAATGTTTTTAGATGGCTTGTTCTCAATTTTGTCCCAGTTGTTCCTAATTATGTTGTGACATATGCCAGAGATAGTCATGCAGTGAATTTCAATGTGTCCTTTGCTCATTATCAGCTGTTGCCTAAATCCAGCTTCTGAGGCTCTCTAGATCAAGAATCTGGAGCTGGAGTTCCTCACATGCCACTTCTTTTCTACTTATTAACCCTATTTCAAACACTCAAGTTTGAATATAATGGTCTTGTAGCTTTTCGCAAGGTAAAGTTCTGATGGAATTATTGTCGTTTCAGAAACACGTAAAATGGGGAGGAGAATTTGTAATATGTTGTTAAAGTCATATATAACATTCAAAATCCAGATATACACCCCTCATCCCAATACTACTGATATTCTAAAATTATTTTCACTAGCATATAGAAGTAGAGATTGTGATTTTCGCTGTAATTTGGGCAATGAGATTTGTGACAATGCCTAGTATGCTTCTATGAGTTTGGGTTTTTTTGAAGGAGAGAACATAGGGTAGGGTAGGGCTGTGGCAAATGACTTGCTGGCCTGAGAAGAAACATTTACAGCTCTACTTGAAGACATAGTGTTCTAGTGCCAGGACCAGAACAGAGCTCTGGGGAAGAGATTTCTGTGAACAGAAAAAACACAGGAAGAACCACCATCAACTATGACACCACACTGGGTGATTTTAAGTCAAAGCATTGATCTAGTTAATTGTAGTTCAGCTTTCAGCAACAGAAGTAATGAAGTATTCTGTTTTCTTTATTTAAGAGTATTTTCAAGGTGAGAAGTGACCACTAGATTATAAATTAATGGTGAAGAATGTCATATCTTACATTTGAAGCATGCTTTCGATCTGTGTTTGTTTGTTTAATTTGAATATAAAACCAGATTTTTTTTCACTTCCCAGGACCATCTCACTTCTGAATTTTCTCTAGTAGACAGATGCTGTTTAATCAGCTACTTTTGCTCTGAGCTCCAATGTCTAGTTTAAACTTTGGGTCCTGTTATGTTTTACCCTCTAGCTTAAAGACCCTGTTAGTACCTGCTATTACAGCCCTGTGATGGTACTTATACAGTGTAATCACATCACGTCTTTTCAAGAAAAGTTGAATAGACTTGGCACCTGAAAACTCTCCCTGGAGAATAAATTTTTAGGGTTTCTTTCTTAACCTTCTCAAGGTTCTCAATATCTATTTTTAAAATGCAGATACCAAAACCAGACAGTTTTCAACATTTGTCTCACTGGTGTTTCAAACAGAGCAAAAATCTACTATTTCCTACTTGTTGCTCCTCTGAAACATGCAGGGATAGCTGCATCCTCTTTAGGCCCCATTTCCCTAGGAATATAGGACAATTCTTTCCTACTCTAACCCTGACACTCTTCCCTGTGTGCAGAGTAAACCACACACTGCTCCAGAGTGGCTGGCATTTTGTTATCTGGAGGTGTGTTTTTACATTAAGCTCTGTTAAAGCACATTCTGTTTCAACTAAGTTCATCTTATCTGGTCCCTAATAGGTTACGGTGTAATGAGAATGTCATGTATCATTGAATAGTAGACTTGTAAAAAACCTGTTATGGATGTGGCTGTGTAACTTTACTAACCCCACTGATAACTTCCTCACAAAAACATTAATCATATTTACTTGGCAGGCCACTTCCCATAAAAACACTGTCTATACATTGGATTTTTTCTCTCTTGGGTTTTGTTTTGTTGTTTTTTTTTTTCCCAAGTTTTTTAATGTCAGCCTAATCAGTCTCTAACTAACTGGTCACCTTAATTAATTTTTTTGGATCTTATCAGGAAACTGAACACTAAATCTTTCAAGATTTTCCTGTTATGCCAAGATTCCTTTGAAGTAGAGTCAGAAAGATAGTTACTCTCTCAGTTCTCCTGTCCATTCTTTTGGTATTTTATTGGTACATGTATGCTATTTTTCTGTGTCTGCCATTTTTCATATGTTCTTAGGAGATGCTTCTTCTTTTTTAAGTCCATAATCTAGCAAACATACCCTCCCTTTCTTTCAAAATACAATCCTGAAGTATTTGTTAAAAAAATACATATTTTTTTAGCCTTCTCTTCTAATAATTCTCCTTACACTTCTAAATATACAAATGCTTTGTTGCCCATAGCCCTTCCAGGCATGGATTTTCCCCTTAGGGCTTTTGCTTTCCTGATGAAATCTCATCACTTTCTAATTAATGTTGATTGCCATCTACTTTTACATTTCAGTGTTAGTTCTACACAGTAATTTTTTCTTCTCATTTGCTGACTTTGCTTATTCAAGAATGGGCTTTCAAGGAAAATTTTCCTCTTGTTTAATGGTAGACTTCTTGGTGAATTACCATATTTCTCTGTAAACTTCTCTATTTTATTCCCTTATTCAACTTTTTCTCCCAAATGCACATTTTTCAGCTTTAGGGAAATAACTTCTGCAAAGCAGCACGTGTGTAAAATGTGGTTAAGGCTTGTTTGTTTGGATCATGGGCAGCTATGAACATAATTTGGAAAGAGGCAAATATTGACAAGACTGAGATACTCAGGCACTCATTGAATGAAAGTGAATGGTATTTCCAGCAGCAGGTTTTACTAATAGGGGCTACAATAGGAACTACCTGTAAATCATACAAGACATTTTTTGTTACTGAACACAGTGATAGGAAAGTGGAATTTTGGCCATCATTTGCACTCGTATAGACAGATATAGAGTCCAGCTGTCTTTTGATCCTTTTGAAAGGTGTTGGTCATGGCCAAAATCCTTTGGGGTGTTTCATATACTGAAAATCCCCAATTTTGGACTTTCACCGAACCAAAATTAAACACATCGGTTAACTGCCCCCAGAGAGCAGCTCCATCATTCTTTGAGGCTTTCTGTGCTCCTGTCATCACGTCTGATCTTAGTAAACTCGCCAGTCCTTCCCATTCCAGAAAGTACAGGCAAAAGGTATTCGGTGTGTATTAAAAAACCTCTGTAGACGCGACCACCCCTCTGAGCTGCGCGCCATCGTTACACTGTAACACTGATACTTGCAAACTTCTTAGCGTCTCCTACAGCCGTCAGGAAAAGTGGGAAAAGCGGAGCAGAACTGGAGTTGAAGCGGGCGCTCGGAGGTGCCGAGCTGCGGTCCCGGGAGATGCCCGGATCCTGGCACGGGCGGCCCTGGGACCGGCCCGCCCGCTCCCGCGCCGCCGCCAGGTGGCGC